GGTTCATTCTCTGTTTCTTTCTGTCACATTCTAGCTGGGAGGCTCTAAGCAGAGTCTAATACAGGGTTTCATAAACCAAACAGTTGTCCACTGAAGTTTCGTGAATTTGCTATGAGAATTTAAAATTTTTTTTGTTTTCCATTTTAGTGATAATCTTCGGAAAAAACATAAGCACACTTTGGATTATGTGCAAAACCACCTTGTAACCAATTGCTGCCAAGTGATTTCAGTGGATGCATAGCTACATTGGGGACTAATGAGAAAATACTTGATGCTTACATGATATAAGTGGTGGTGCCAAGTGAAAGCTGTTTAATGTCATAGCCCACTTGAGAAAGGATGTTTTCTTAGTAGTTTTATTAAACAGAGGTGGTGAGAGTAGTATAGACATGCCGAGCTCAAAAGGGTGTGTGCCATAGCATTCATACCGAATTAATGACAAAAAAAGGAGTTTATTTACAGTAGAACATCGTCTTTATCTGTCCTGTTATTTGAATTCTGATGGTTTTATAGTTTTTAAGTTTATATTCCTTTTTTGCCTTATAGTTGCATGAGAACAGTTCATACATCTTGTTTCATGTTTGTGCATTTTTAAGTTGTGTTGTAATAAAAAGGCATTTACATCAACATTGGGGGTCTGTGAGAACTGCCCCCCCAACACACACAATGAACTCTGTATATTATTTAAGTTTTGTCCAAGAAATCTATAATACATAGGATGATGGTAAGAAAGACTCTCAGTGAATAAGTGAGTCTATAACCTAAAAAAGAGGAAGACCCTCAATGAGATAGATTGACACAGTGGCTGTACCAGTGGGCTCAAGCATAGCAACAATTGTGAGGATGGCGCAGAACCGGGCAGTGTTTTGTTCTGTTGTGCATAGGGTCGCTATGAGGCAGAAGCGATTCGACGGCACCTAACAGCAACAACAACAACATAACCTAAATGCTCTGGATAGACTATTCCTGGTGGTCCTTAAGAATAAAAAGATACAAACTCTTGTTCATCAAAAGATTTTACCAGAAAAGTGAAGAAAGACAAGCTACTATACCTTTGGGAACCATATATCTGACAAGAACCTAATAACCAAAATATATATAAAACTTTGACTACTTAACAACAAAAAGACAAATAACTCAGTCATAAAACGGGCAAAGGACTTGAACTGACATTTCACCAAAGACAACATTCAAACAGCCACCAAACACATAAAAAGATGCTTAGCATCATTAGCCATTAGAGAGATGCAAGTCAAAACCATAATGAGACACCATTTCACTCCCACTAGGATGGCTAAGATTAAAAAAAACAAACAGAAAATAACCAATGTTGGCAAGGGTGTGGGGAGATCAGAACACCCTTATCTATTGTTGGTGAGAATGCAAAACGGTACAGCTGTTGTGGAAAACAATGTGGCAGTTCTTCAGAAACCTAAAAGTAGAACTACCATAGGACTCAGCAATTCCATTTCTAGGTATATACCCAAAAGACTTGAAAGCAGAGACTCAAACAGATACTTGTACACCAATGTTCATTGCAGCACTATTCACAGTAGCCAAAAGGAAACAACCTAAATGCCCATCAACAGATGAATGGATAAACAAATTCTGGTACATACGTACACTGGAATGCCACTCAGCCAGTAGGAGAAATGAAGTCTTCATACATGGTGCAGTATGGATGGAGCTTGAAGACATAATGCTGAGTAAAACAGGTCAGTCACGAAAGGACAAATATTGTTAGACCTCACTTATATAAAAAGAACAGGCAAATATATAATGACCAAAGTTTTTTAGTGGTTTAGAAACACTTCAAGGGACAGAGTAGCAGGGATGGGGGTCCAAGGACCATGGTTTCAGGGGACATCTAGGTCAATTGGCATAAAAAAGTTTATTAAGAAAATGTTCTGCATCCCACTTTGGTGAGTAGCATCTAGAGTCTTAAAAGCTTGTGAGCGGCCATCTAAGATGCATCAATTGGTCCCAACCAACCTGGAACAAAGGAGAATGAAGAACACTAAAGACACAAGGAAAATATTAGCCCAAGAGACAGAAAGGGACACATAAACGCAAGAGAATCTATCAGCCTGAGATGGGAAGAACTAGATGGTGCCCAGCTACCACCAACGCCGCCCTGACAGGGAACACAACAGGGAGTCCCTGATGGAGCAGGAGAAAAGCGGGGTGCAGAACTCAAATTCTAGTAAAAAGACCAGACTTAACAGTCTGATTGAGACTGGAGGGACCCTGAAAGACAGGGCCCCCGGACTCTCTGTTAGCCCAAAACTAAAACTATTCCCGAAGCCAACTCTTCAGACAAAAGATTAGACTGGACTGTAAGACATAAAATGATGTTCATGAAGAGTTTGCTTCTTAGCTCAAGTAGATACATGAGGCTAAATGGGCAGCTCCTGTCCGGAGGTGAGATGAGAAGGCAGAAAGGGACAGGAGCTGGTTGAATGGACATGGGAAATCAGGAGTGGAAAGGAGGAGTGTACCGTCACAGTATAGGGAGGGCAACTAGGGTCACGTAACAATGTGTATATAAGTTTTTGTATGCGAAACTAACTTGAACTGTAAACTTTCACTTAAAGCACAATTGAAAAAAAAGAGAAAGAAAAAAAATTTCTTAGTGGTTTATCAGGCGTGGGAGGGAGGGGGAAAAACAAAACAAAACAAACCTATTGCCGCTGAGTCGATTCTGATTCATAGCGACCCTAAAGGACAGAGTTGAACTGCCCCATAGAGTTTCCAAGGAGCGCCTGGTGGATTTGAACTGCCTACCTTTTGGTTAGCAGCCATAGCTCTTAACCACTATGCCACCAGGGTTTCCAATATGCTTATGGAGTACTGAGTTTTGGTTTAAAACTGTTGCCATCAAATTGATCCTGACTCATAGTGACCCTATTTACAGTGATGGAAAAATCAAATTGATTGAGGGTAGGGTTGCACAGCCAGTTAACGTAAGTGCTGTCAATAAGTTGTACACCTGTAAAAAGTTGAATTGGCAAATTCAAACTGTGATAGATATATTTATACAATAACCAAAAAGAAAAAGGAGTAGCTGCTGAGGCTGCTTATTTACAGCCAAACTCCTCATGGAATTTGGTTCCTTGGTTTGGAGTTTTAGGGTCATGGTTTCTTGGAACATCCCAGTTAATTGGCCTAATAACATGTTTGGTGCTTCTGTTCTACCTCCTAGTTCATTGCATAGTGCCTGAGGTCTTAAAAGCTTGCAAGTGGCTATCCAAGGCTCAACAATTGGTCTTTATTCACCTGGAGCAACAGAGGATGGAGAGTCAGGAATAGGAGAAGGAAACGGAATGTGTGGCTAATTGGCTCTGTGAACAACTGCCTTCTTTGCCATGAGACCAAAAGAACTGGATGTTGCTTGGCTACCATTACTGAACATTTTGATCAAAGATTCTATAGAAGAATCTTTGATCAAAAGGGGGGAAATGTAAAAAAGAATTTCAAATTCTCATGGAATCCAGATATTCTGGAGCCATAGAGGCAGAATGAACTACCAAAACTATTGTCCTAAGATAATCTTTAAACCTTAAACCAAAAATATCCCTCTGAAGTCTTCTTAAAACCAAACGATAGTTTAGCGTAACTAGTAAAGAATGTCTGCCTTGAGCATTATACTCTCTTAAAATTTATGTGTGTGACATCAGATTGACAACAGCAACTCGAAAGATTAGCTAGGAACCTTAAGGGGCAGTAAGTTGCTGTTAATGGGGGAGGAACAACTCAGAAAAGGAGGGTGAGAATGGTTGCACAACTGTAAGAATGTAATCAGTGTCACTGCAGTGTACATGTAGAAACTTGTATTGGTGTACGTTTTGCTGTATGTATTTTCAACAACAACAAAAAATAAAAATAATTAAAAAAAAAAAAAAAGGAAGAAGAAAAGATCCATGTTGACTGAAGAGTTGTGTCAAGAGGAGAGGTAGGTTCGAGGTTGGTGCAGGCCAGTCTGAGAAGATGCTTAAAGGCCCATTTAACTCTGATTCAGTGAATTGCTCTTCTTTAGTTCCATTTCATGCCCCGCCTCCCACCCACCCCCGAATTCTGCGCTGTCATCTTCTCAACCCTCTCTCTAGCCGATTTTTGGTGATCATTAAATACCACGTGAAAGCCTTTGATAGATTTGAAAGTAGCTAGGCCCTTGGGGCCAGTGGTAGACAGGAAATAGCCAGTTGTTTGGACAAGTTGTAAGTCTTGCCTTACTTTCTGAGTGTGTTCACGTTTGCAGTGGGGAGAACTTCGAGTTTATAGCTCATGACTAGAACACTTCGGATATCAGAAGATTTCCTTGAGCGATTCAGGAGACTGCGTCTTTTTAAAAATAATTTATTGTGTTTTTTAAAAATTTTTATTTTATTTATTTATTGTACTTCAGGTGAAGGCTTACAGAACAAATAGTTTCTCATGAAATGGTAGTACACTTATTGTTTTATGACATTGGTTAACAACCCCACAACATGTCAACCCTCTCCCTTCTCGACCTTTTTCTTTTTTTTTTTTTTTTTGGTGAAAATATACGTAGCCAAAGATACACCATTTCAAAAATTTCTACATGCACAGTTCAGTGACATAGACTACGCTCTTCCAATTGTGCTGCTATTCTCACTTTAGATGAAGGCTTACAGAACAAAATAGTTTCTCATTTAACAGTTAGTACACATGTTGCCCTATGACAATGGTTAACAACCTCACAACATATCAACACTATCCTTACTCAACCTTGGGTTCCCTATCACCAGCTTTCCTGTCCCCTTCTGCCTTCTGGCCCCCGTCCCTGGACTGCTGTGCCTCATTAGTCCCATTTGGTTTTATGGGGATTTATTGTCTTTTCTGGTGAAAGTTTACACAGTAAATGAGGTTCCCATTTGACAGTTTCTATACAACTTGTTCAGTGACAGAGACTGTGTCTTTAGAAGGTATGCTCCTGTTTGGTACCTTGTGCTAACGCAGAGACCTCTCTCCCACTGCAGGTTTTCAAGAATCCCCATGAGGTGGTGACAGTGCTGCTGATTCAGACGCTGGGGGCCTTGGTGCCCTCCCTGCCCATCTGCCTCAGCTCTGCGGTGGAGAGGGCAGGGCCTGAGATGGAGCTCACCAAACTGCTGGAGTTCTATGACACCACCGCCCACTTCGCCAAGGGCTTGGAGATGGCACTGCTCTCCCACCTACGTAAACATTCCTTCCTCGCAGCTCTCTAGCTTGTCTTTACTCTCTGTCTTTGAGGCTTCTAGCGCCTGGCTTTGTTTGCCTTTTCAGGTGACTGATTTTACAGAAATGCAGTGGATCAGTGTTTTTCTCCTCAGTAGATATCGAAGCCTTATACATGAAAGCGTTGCCATTATGGAAGTAGTTGTTTAATATGTTTACCTAGGATCAGTGCTGCCTCGGTGCTTTGCACGCTCGGGGAAGTGATGGGCACTTCTGCGGGGGCTTAAAGTGTGAGCAGGCTTACCAGTGAGGCAGGTAGACATTAGTGTAGCCCACGGGCAGCGGGTCACACTGCGAGAGTAGTGTTCTCTGTCTTTCAAGTCATCATAAAGTCTCGGACAATTCAATCCTAGAAGTAAGTGTAAGAGAACAAGTAGGTGAAAGGAGCTTTTTGAAGGGGCAACAGCAAGTTTTTCAGGGCAGGGAAGCTATGCTAGAACAAAAGGTATTAAGAGAATGGGCTTCCCCCGGATGCTGTCTGAGAATGAAGCACTCCTTATTGTTATTTGGGTGAACAGTGCATGGTGTGTTCCATTTTCCCAGTTGCTTCCCCATCTCTACTAAAAAGCATCATACATTTTTAAATAATACAGACCTCATGACGCATGCTGCTGTCAAATCAGGAAGTCGCTTCAGGAAGGCTGTGTTCTGTTTGGCTGTGTGTGTCACTAACTCTGTGTATTTAATAGTTATTCCCTTTAATTACATTTGGGTATAATTGCCTGGACATTCCAGGGAGTGTGTTTATTGTTCGGGTTCCTGATGATTCATACAGTAGTCTAGCACACTCTCTTGTCAGGCCTTGTTATGGGCGAGGCACGGTAGACATGCGAAGCTTCCGGAGGCCAGGGTGCCATTGTCTACAGTGGTTCAAGGGTGTTGAGGCTGTGCATCCTTTTGGAGCGGAGTGGAGTGAAGGTGGAGCAAGGAACAAGTTGTATTCCTCTGACTGCTGATGAATATTATTAGAAGGACATTATTAGATGGTTATATAGAACCATCCCCTCAAGAATCAGATAGAGAAGTGTTTTGTTAATTAGCCATGGAGGATATAGATTTTTAATGGTTCCTCTTTGAGGTTTTCAAAAAGATTTTTTTTTTTTTAATTTAAAAAATACTTTGGAAAATATACTCAAAAAGTAGATATTAAAGAGAGTTAAAATATCCGTAACTTCATCAGTCAGAGCCACTGTCAACATTTTGTTATATTTTCTCCCAGTAATTCAAATATATACACATTTTTCACAAATATATATGCATATTTAAAAATGTTGGGCCTATACAGTTTGATATTCTCACGTTTTACTCAATACAATGAGTGTTTTCTCATGTCACTAAATGTTTTTCTAAAACATGATTTTTGACGACCACTTTTCAACTGTGGCTTACTGTCATTTTTTTTTAACCACTATGATAAATAAGACTGTTGTGAACAATCTTACAAATTAAGTTTTGAGCCCAACTATTTATTCCTTAGGATAAGTTTCAAAATTGGAAATACTTAGAAATGAACATTTTAAAGACTTTTGTCATACCTTGCCCTTCAGAGGGTGTCTACGTGTTTTTGTGTCTATCAGTACCGTCCGATGTTGTTAGTTCCGACTCATGACATTTCCCCCTGCCCTCACCAGCATGAGGCTGTATCTTTTTTATCCCATATTTTCCGGGTTCTTAGACAATTAATGATGTATCATTTTATTTCTTTGATTAATAGCAAGTTTAAAAATTATATTATAAAAATAATATTTTTTTTCTCTTTTGAATTGCTTATTCTGTTGCCTATTTTCCTGTTTGGGAACTTATCAATTTCTGATTAATTTATAAGTAATCTATTTAAAATATATAACTGTATTATTACATATATTATGAAAAGTGAGAAAAGTGCATGTTATAAAAATTTAGGATAGAGAAGTAGATAACACAAAATGAAAGGCTCGTATAACCCCATTTCCTAGAAATAACCCATGAAATAATTTGATGTATTTTTTCAAAAGATCCTTATATAGTAAGGAATTTTCCCCCATTGTTTATCAAATGTTGTAGATATATTTTCTAGGTTCTATTTTGCCTTTAAAATTTTCTGTTATTTTAATAGTTGATACATGCTCATGGTACAAGTCAAAAGACATAAAAGATTATGCAGTGGAAAGTAAAATTTTAAAACAGTTTAAGTGGATAATATGCATTCATTTTAGAAAAATCCAGAAAATACAAGGATGGATAAAAATCATCTTCAGCCTACCATCCAGTAATAACATTTTGGATTTTGGACATAACATCCAGATTTTGTGTTTGTGTGTGTGTGTGCATGTACTTAAATATATTTTTAATAGAATATTTTATTACCGTTATCACAGCCAAGAAATTTATTATCAATTCAATGTTATTGTCTAATATGTAATCCATATTGAAATTTCCCCAGTTGTTCCACAAATATTTCTAACAGCTGCCTCTTCACCTCCCCTCCCATCAAGATCCAGTCAGTGTACATACACTGCATTTGGTTGTCATGGCTCTTTAATCTCTTTTAATCTAAAAAGTTATCTTTCTTTTGTCTTTCATGACATTGACATTTTTGATGAATACAGGATATTTTTTGTTGTAGAATGTCCCACATTCTCAAATTGTCTGATGGCTTCCTTGTGATTGGATTGGATTGCACATTTTTGGGAAGAATACTACATTGATGATGATGTGTGCTTCTTGTTGCATCACATCAGGAGACACATAATCTCTAGTCATTGGTGATGGGTTAGATTAATCACTTGGTTAATGCTGTGTCTGCCAGATCTTTCCACTGTAAAATTGCCTTTGTAACTAGCAAGTAACTTGTAGGGGGATACTTTGAGCCCATAGGAATGTATTATTCCCCAAGGAATATATACCCAGTAATTTTAGCATCCATTGATAATCCTGGCCTGAATACATTTTTATATTTTTGACTATAATACGGTGATTTGCTAATTCTCTCATTTCTTCTACATTTGTTGACTGGCATTCTTTTCTAAAGAAGAGATTTTCCTTTGTCTCTCTATATAATATTACTGTGAACTCATGGATTCTTTTTTCATTCAGTGTGTTATGGTCCATTATTGTCATTCATTTTGATGCTCAAATTATTTTAAATTTGGCCAGTGGGTACCCTGTCCAGTTGGCTCCTGTATGTCTTTGACACATCTCTGTCAGTCTATGAGTGCTTCCTTGGTTTTTGGCACAAAATCTTCCAGGAACACCTTGTACTTTTCCTGTCTCAGGGACCTGAGAATAAGCCATTTTCCAAGGAATCATGGTTTCTTCTAGTGGGACATGGTAATTAGAAGCCAACATCTGGGAAGTAGGGGTGCTCATTATTGCTGGGGTGTCATTACGTCTAGGCCTTTTTGGTAGACAGAGCTAGGAAATACATATTTAAAAGGTTGCCAGTTTATACTGATACTTCCAAATAAAACTCAGCACCACTAGATTTTTACCTCTTGCCATTCCCAGTTGTATTTCCCTTCTGTGGTGAGAATCCTGGTTCCCAACTTTGTGTGTGTGTGTGTGTGTGTGTCTTTTGTGTATATATATATATATATATATATATATATATATATATATATATATACACACACACAATGTTTTTCATGACCGCATTGTGGATAGGTCAAAATGTAATGGATTTATTCATTTAAAAATGGGCTAGTTCTGGGGTATTGGATGCTAAGGATGAAATGCTGAGCAAAACCAGACATAGTCCTTGCTCTCATATGAGATATTCTAGTGAGAGATAATCAAATAATCACACTAATAAATGTGTGATTATAAGTGAGATAGATACTGTGAACAAAAGCAAAATGGTTCTAGGAGAGTATATAAACAAAGAAAGACGATGGAGACCAGTGGGCTTGAGCTGAGTGACTACTAAAGGAGGAGTTGTTAGCTGCCATTGAGTCGGCTGTGACTCATGGCAACCCCATGCACAACAGAACAAAACTTTGTCTGGTCCTGCTCCATCTTCACAATTATTGGTATGTTCTAGTCCATTGTTGTGGCTACTGTATATTTTGAGTGGTGTCCAACCTAGGGGGCTTATCTTCCAGCACTATATTGGACAGTATTCTGTTGTGAGCCATAGGGTTTTTTTTTCCCCCTTTCCCATAGGGCTTTCATTAACTAGTTTTTGGAAATAGATTGCCAGGCCTTTCTTCCTAGTCTGTATTAGTCTGGAACCACCTCTGAAATTTGTCCACCATGGGTAACCCTTCTGGTATTTGAAATACCAGTAGCATAGCTTCCAGCATCGTAGCAACATGCAAGCCACTATAGTACGACAGGTGGTGGAAAAGAAGAGTAGGAGGAGCTAACTAGATGAGGAAGGATAGGGAAGAACAAGGCTCTTCTACGCAGAAGGATTCACTTATGACCAGAGGAAGCATGGTGCTTTTGGGGAACTGAGAAGAGGCTGGAGGCTAGGGGAAAAGTTAAGAAGGATGAGGCTGTAGAAGTAATAATAGAAATAGCTGGCATTTATTGAGAGTTTACCACATGCTAGACATGTATTAATTTACCTAATCTTCACAAAAGACTAATAAAATTGATGCCATTATTATCCCGATTTTATAGTTGAGGAAGCTGAGGCATAGAAAGGTTAAGTCATTCGCACACAGTCATTTAACTAGGAAGTAGTAGAGCTTTAATTGAAAAGCCTTCACTCTGAACTATCACCCTCTCTTGCCTCCTGAGGTCAGACCACATAGAGCCTTGTAGGCTACGGAAAAGAGTTTGGGCTCCAACTTAAGAGCAGTGGCAGTTAACTACAAAGTTGTAAGTAGGGCAATCATGTGGTCAGATTTCTGTTTGGGGAATATTTTTTTTCTGGCTTCCATGTGGAAGATGGATTGGAGGGGACCAGACGGATATGAGATCAACAAGTAGGCTATTTTATTTACTCATTCCCTGTTGGGAGAAATAAGGCTGTCGCTAAAACTTTGTGATCCTAAGCAATGATTATGTGAACATCTTTGTACACACACTGTATCTCTGCATATTTATTAATTTCTTCGGCATAATTCTTAGAAGTTGAATTTCTGTATCATAGAATATGCATATTAAAATTTTTGGTATAAACATTTTTTAAATTTTTATGTAGTTGAATATAGGAACTTCTGGGATGCCTATTATATGGAGTATCCTATTCCTGTAAAGTCCTAGGAAGACTGGAGATGGAAAATGTTCTTCCGGAAGCTTTTCCCTGTGGCAGTTCTTAAACCTGATCCTGATAAGTTATCACTTGAAGAGCTGCTGCTTTTTTTTTTTTTAAATAATGTTTTATTGTGTTTTTGGTGAAGGTTTACACAGCAGTTTAGGTTCCCATTCAACAGTTTCTACAGTTGCTTAGTGACATTGGTTACATTCTTCACGATTCGTGAACATTTTTCTCATTATTTCCGTTCTGGTTGTTCTGTTTCCATTAATCTAGTTTCTCTCCCCCCTTACAGTCTCATCTTTGTTTTAAAGTAGTTGTTGGTCTCATTTGGTCTCATATAGGTGATTTTTTAAAGGAGCACAGTACTTACGAGTGATATTCATTATTTTTTGAGCCAGTTTGTTATTTAGCTGCAAGGCGACCTCAGGTTAGTTTTGGTTAAGGGTTTGAAGACTATCTCTCAGGGCAGTAGTCTTGTGGAGTCCTCTAGTCTCAACCAGTCCAGTAGGTCTGGGTTTTTCTTTTTAAAGGAATTTGAAGTTCTGTTCTACATTTTTCTCCCATTCTTTCAGAGTCCATCTCTTGTGGCCCTGCTTAGAATGGTTGATAGTGGTAGCTGGTCACCATCTAATTCTTCTGGTCTCAGGGTAGATGAGGTCGTGGTTCAGGTAGACTATTTGTTCTGTAGACTAGTTTCTTCTTTGAGTCTTTGGTTTCCTTCTTTCTCTTTTGCTCTGGACGAGTAGAGCCCTGAGCTTTCAAGACCCCAGACACAACTCACCATACTAGGATATAGAACGTAACTTTATGAACTAGGTTATGCTGCGAGACTAAGATATCTCACAAGACTATGGTCCTAGTCCCTTGAAGAGATTCTTTTTTTTTTTTTTTTTTTTTTTGAGTATTTTATTGTGTTTTAGGTGAAGGTGAAAGTTTACACAGCAAATTAGATTCCCATTCAACGATTCATATACAGATTCTTCCGTGACATTGGTTACAATCTCCTTACTGTATCAGCACTCTCACCATTTCCACCTGGCATACCCCGTTTCCATCCATCCACTTTCCCTGCCCCTTCTTGCTTTCTCATCTTTGCTTTTGGGTAAATGTTGAAGGTTTGGTCTCTATAGTTGATTGTTTAAAGGAACATATTCCTCATGGATGTTATTGTTTATTTTTTAGGCCAGTCTATTATTTGGCTGAAAGGTGGCCTCCAGGAGTGATTTCAGTTCCAGGTTAAAATGGTATGTTAGGGCAATAGTCCCAGGGGTTCCTCTAGTCTCTATCAGTGCAATTAGCCTGGTCTTTTTTATGAAATTAAGTTTTGTTCTACATTTTTCTCCTATTCTAACCGGGATCATCTATTGTGTCCTTGGTCAGAACAGTCAGTGGTAGTAGCTGGGCACCATCTAGTTCTTGTCTCAGGCTAGAAGATGCTGTGGTTTGCGTGGGGCATTCGTCCTGTGGACTAGTATCTTACTTGAGTGGTTTTCTTCACTCTCCTTTGCTCCAGACAGGAAGACCTGTTGTTGTATCTTAGATGGCTGCTCAGAAGCTTTTAAGACCCCAGACACAACTCGCCAAACAGGATGTGGAACTGTAGTATCCCAGTAGGCAGATGTCCCGTGAGACTACGCTCCTAGTTTCTTGAAGAGATTTTTAAGTGTGATTGTTTGTGGGATTAAGGGAGTTGATGTCTTTAGTAGTGCTTTAGGCAAATAAATACACAAAGTGCAAATTTACTAAAATGTTTACTGAAGTGATTGTTGGAGAAGCATCCATGAAAGATAGAAGCAGATTGTCTAAGTTATCTCGTGCTGCTTTGACAGAAATACTACGAGTGGATGGTTTTAACAAATGGGAATTTATTTTCTCACAGTTTAGGAGGCCAGAGTCTGAATTTGGGGTGCTGGCTCTAGGGGAAGGCTTTTTTTTTTCTGTCGGCTCTAGAGGAAGGTCCTTGTCTCTCCTGAGCTTCTGCTACTGGGCAGTCTTCATGTGGGTTGGTATCTCTCTTCCCCAGTCTCTGTTCTGCTCGCTTGTTTAATCTCTCAAAAGAGATTAACTCAAGATATACTGTATACCAGTTCTGCCTCAGTAACATAACAAAGACAACCCATTGCCAATGGGGTTATAACAACAGGCATAGAGGTTAGGATTTGCAACATATGTTTTTTGGGGGGACATAATTCAATCCTAACAAAATGAACAAAATGTAGTCACCCCTAATGATGAATCATATGAGAAGTTCCAGTAGAGTACCTCTCTCTGTTGTTTTCCAGCACGTAGTTTTAGTTTGTTCATTATTGTTTTCAATTTCTGATTTCCTACAGATGAGCACAACTTGGTGAAAGTCATGGAGCTGGTGGATGCTGTGTATGGTCCGTACAAGCCCTACCAACTGAAGTATGGTGACATGGAAGGGAACAACCTCCTCATCCAGATCAGTGCTGTGCCGCTGGTAATGTCATCATGCCGCCAGTGGCTGTTCAGATTTATTCTCTGTTTGCCTGGGTTGAGGCCAAGTCTGGCAAAGGGTTGGGGCTGGGGTGCACCAGAGAAGGTGTGAGGTGGCATCATGTCTGCAAAAATGGAATCCGGTGTGTAAAAAGTGGGCTCGAGGTGCCTTCATGGGCTCTTGCAATCCAAATGTAAAATGAGACCACAGAAATCCTGTCAGTTTTCTGTTTAAAATCACCAGTAAAAGTCTAGTAGAGAGGATTAAATCGTTGGGAGATAAATTGATTATCTCCCTTGATTTAGCTAATTTCTCATTAGAGTGGGCTTTCCTTGAAGGAAGATACGCAGATGAGCACTAGAAACTTAGCATTCCTGGACAATGCTGTAAGGGCAGGTTCACTGGGAGAGAGAAGTATAAGTCACCAGAGGGAATAGAGGTCATTTCAGTGTCAAATATTATTTTGTTTTCAAGTCACCTAAGGTCTTCTTGCATGAGATGCATTGACCTTGAAGAACTGATCTTACAGTAGTTAAAATCTGTTGCCTCTTACCATTTTTCTAGGGATGTGCCTAGAAAGTCTGTACCGCCTCAGTTACATTCTTGCCCCTTAAGGAGGCATTTTCTTTTCAGTACATTCTCTGAGAGTGTCTGATATGGAGAATTTGAATCCTTATACGAGAGCAAAAGGGAGAGATGCCATCTTAATAATACAGAAAAAGGGGAAAGAAATTAAAAATATAGTCTGAATTAGACATTTGACCATGCTTTTCTGCTAGGAGTTAAATTCTGCATTCTCACTAGCCACTTAGGACTGTCCTCCCCCGGGTCAGGCTGTCTGAGCGCTGTCGCAGTTTGGGATAGTAGTTCTGTTTTCTGCTATCTTTATTAAGTGATTTTACCTCATGGAGGCTTGGAGATCTCCCCCCTACCTTGATACTGTCTATTCAGGCTTTCTCGAGTCTGATGCGACTTTTGTTTGTTTGCTGACCAGGAGCATGGAGAAGTAATCGACTGTGTCCAAGAGCTGAGCCACTCAGTGAACAAGCTCTTTAGTCTGGCATCCACAGCCATTGACAGATGTGTCAGATTCACCAACGGCCTAGGGACCTGCGGCCTGCTGACAGCCCTGAAATCTCTCTTTGCCAAGTAAGGCTGGGGGCAGTGGGCCAGGGCCAGCCGACTGGAGGGCAGTTTGGCAGTATCTGCCCAATTAAAAATAAAAGCATGTGTTCTGTGTTCTGCCACGAACACGGGACAAACACTTGCACTGGAGCCCGACGGCGTTCTCAAGGATGTTCATTATCTCATTGTTTGTAATGGTGAAACATTTGAAGCAATCGAAATGTCCATCAGACAGTGGCTAAATAAGATACGGTATATTCAAACGAGGGAACCCTATGCAGCAGTATTATTAGTATTAATTACTGTATTGTTATGCAAATAACACACACCTTCCACGTTTATTTACCAACCAAGCAGCGCCCCCACTGTGAGATATTTTTCGAAGTGCCATTATGCCAATTCTTTTTTTACACATCACTGTTAAAAAAATTAGCATAGTGTGCTGACAAAAATACCTTGCAGGGGGTGGGGAAAGGGCGTAGTTGGCAAACAAACATAGAGGGTGCGTGCTCTTTGTGTAAAGTTACAGTGTTTCTACACTTTTTAACGTGGGTAGATCTCAGAAACATACTGTTGAGTGAAAAAAAGCAAGTTGCAGAATTAAGTATAGAGTCTAACACATTATATAAGGAGCTCTGGTGCGCAGTGGTTAAGCCAAAAAGACAGAGGTTCAAGCCCACGAGTGCTCCATGGAAGAAAGATATGGCAGCCTGCTTCCATAAAGATTTATAGCTTTGGAAACCCTATGTGGCAGTTCTGCTCTGTCCTGTAGGATCACTGTGAGTTGGATTCGACTCAGTGGCAATGGGTTTAGTTTTTTTTTAATATATTATAAAAAAAGCATGCAAAAACAGGTTATATTTTCAATAGCAGGGTTCAGCAAACTCTTTCTGCAAAGGGCCAGATAGTAAATACTTTAGGCTTTGTGGGCCCATATGGTCTGTGTGGCAGTTACTCAACTCTGCCTTTGTAACATGAAAGCACCCTTAGACAATACACAAGCAAATGGGTGTGGCTGTGTTACAATAAAATTTTATTTACAAAAACACCAGTGGCGACCCCTACTCTAGATTACTTTTTTAATACTGTAAAATGCATTATATATCCCTGTAAAATAGGGGTAGGCAAACTAGAGCTCATGAGCCAGGTCTGGCCTGCCATCTGTTATTATAAATAAAGTTTTATTGGAATGCAGCCATGCCCATTCATTTACCTATTGTCTATGGGTCCTTTTGCACTATGAAGGCAGAGCTGAGTAGTTGTGACATAGACCTTATAACCCATAAGTCTAAAATATTTACTGTCTGGCCCTTTACAGAAAACTTTGCTGAACTCTGATGTGGAAGGTTAGGTTACAAATTCAAAGCACTGGTTGTCTTTGAGGAGATGGAGAAGGACTGGGTTTGGGGATGGTGGTCATAGGGGATTTAGCTTTATTTGTTATTTTATAATTTTTTTTCTTTCTGTTTTATATATATATTTTTTAAAAAGCATAAGTTCATATATTTGTTGTGTAATTAAAAATATAAGTAAAAACAATATAAATATGCTAGTTGTTATTAGTTACCAACAAGTTGATTCTGACTCATGGCAACCCCACGTGTGCAGAGTAGAGCTACTATGTAAGTTCTACTTATGTAAGTGGAAGAAACTAGTCACGAAAGACCACATATTGTATGATTCTGTGTATATGAAATGTCCAGAATAGGCAAATACATAGAGACAGAAATTAGATGAGTGGTTGTCCAGGACTGGGTAGGAGAAGTTGTGAGGAGATGAGTTTCTTTTCAGGATGATAAAAATGTTTTAAAACTGAATGTAGTGATGATTGTATGACTCTCTGAATATACTAAAAACCATTGGATTGTACACTTTGAATGATGAATTGTATGGCATGTGAAATTATATCACAATAAAACTGTTACTGAGAAAAAGAAGTGGGAACTAAAAGTAGGTTTAGTAAGGAAAAGAAGCAAGCAAGCAGTATAAGACTGGATTCCCTGGCCTGTGTAATTGAGATGTAAGGGCCCTCAGGAGGATATATGCTCCACTCTCTAGTTCATGGACAAATACATTCTTACGCTCTCCAAGAGACCTTCCCTTGATAGCTTGTTCCAGAATGAAGTTGCCCTGAGTCTTGAGAAATTCCTTTTATTGAACTGAATGCTCTTTTGCTGTCGTAAGTTCAGGGAGCTCTTGTCATTCCAGAAATACTGAGAACATCCCTGTGTGCACTGAAGGTCCCTAAGGCCCTTGGCCCCAGTGTTCTCAGTGACTCAGTCACAGAAGTCCGTGGGTAGCAGCACGTCCCAAGGGGAGGTGTGGGCGTTTTAAAGACTGCCCTGCTCACAGATGGAGGTGTATCCAAATAAGCCCAGATGTGTTCCCCTAGAAAGAAACGCCAGCAACAGGTTTAATCAAATAAAATACAGCCTCTTTCTCTTGCTGCCACAACCAGGCTTTTGCAGGTGGAAATAATTTTTTTTTTTTTTTGAGATCTAGAAATTTTATTATAAAATAATAAAAAGAATGCTTTCAGAAATAATTCATAAAAATAAAGTATAAGAAAGTCCCAGTCTCCTGCCCCACCTGTGCACTTAGGCCCACTCCTCAGAAGTAACCAGTTTTGGACATTTCTGGTTTTAGTCTTCTAATGCTTCCCTTCGAGCTTTAAACAAGATTTTTTTTTTTTCTTAATCAACTTTAAATATTGTCTTTTGACTCTCTACTGTGCAAGGTGAGGAGTTGAGCTTACTTACACTATTCCTTTCTTTTATCCCGTGCTTCTCCCAGCTCATCTTAGTTATGCTTTTACTTTTGGTTTTTCTTTCTTTTTTTTTTGTTTAAGGAATATGCAGTATTAATAAAACATACGAGGAAAGAGAAATTATAGCAGATTAGAGTACATAAATTTTTTTTTCTTCACATCCCCTCATGTAACATAATCCACTTTGGAGACCACTGATACAGAAGACAGAGTATTAGACTAAGACTCAGGAGACTGGCTTCTATTCCTGGCTCTGTTGCCTTCACCAAGTAATTTCTTATCGCTGGGTCTCTGTTTATTTATTAATAATTTATTTTATTTTATTGTTGAGAATATACATAGCAGAACATACACCACTTGGACAGTTTCTACATGTATAATTCAGTGACGTTGATTACAGTCTTCGAGTTGTGCAATCATTCTCAATCCTCCTTTCCTAAGTTGTTCCTCCTTTATCAGTATTAACTCGCCGCCCCCTAAAAATCCTATCTAATCTTTTGAGTTGCTGTTGTCAGTTTGATCCCATATAAATTATTCTTAAAAGAGCATAATGCTCAAGGCAGACATTCTTTACTAGTTAAGCTAAAGAATTATTTGGTTTTAAGAAGACTTCAGGGGATATTTCTGGTTTAAGGTTTAAAGATTATCTCAGGGCAGTAGTTTTGGTGGTTCGTCCAGCCTCTGTGGCTTAAGAGAGTCTGGATTCCATGAGAATTTGAAATTCTGTTCTGCATTTTTCCCCTTTTGATCAGGATTCTTCTTTAGAATATTTGATCAAAATGTTCAGTAATGATAGCCAGGCACCATCCAGTTCTTCTGGTCTCATGGCAAAGGAGGCAGCAGTTCATGGAGGCAGTTAGCTACACATTCCATTTCCTCCTCCTATTCCTGATTCTCCTTCTTCCTCTGTTGCACCAGGTGAATAGAGACCAATTGTTGTGCCTTCGATGGCTACTTGCAAGCTTTTAAGACCCCAGGCACTACACAGCTAACTAGGAGGCAGAACAGAAGCACTAACCACGTTATTAGGCCAGTTAACCGGGATGTCCCTTGAAACTATGACCCTAAACCTCCAGACCAAGGAACCAGATCCCATGAGGTGTTTGGTTGTACATAAGCAACCTCAGCAGCTACTCTTTTTTTTTAAATCTCTCTATATACACATATATTTATAAATATGTCTATCACAGCTTTTGCCAATTCAGCATTTTACAGGTGTACAACTTATTGACAGCAATTACAATAATCGACTGTGCAACCCGACCCTTAATCAGTGCAGTTTTTCTGTTACCGTAAACAGAAACTCAGTGCTCCATAAGCAATAACGCCCTCCCTTGCTTTTCCTCTCCTTCCTGACCCTGGAAACCACTAAGAAACGTTGTTGTCTATACATTCGCCTGTTCTTGTCTTTTTATGTAAGTGTGGTCATAAATATTTGTCCTTCTGTGATTGGCTTATTTCACTCAATGTAATGTCCTGATGCTCTATCCATATAGTAGCATGTATCAAGATACTTCTGGTTTTTCTGGATGGTTATTTTGATGCTTCATTTTTAAACATAATACATATCTATATGAAAAATTCAAGCTGTACAAAAGTACATTTGGTGAAGGCAAGTCTCCTCTAAGAAAGGAAGGTTTTCAAGTTACTGAAACAGCTGATGCTTATAAAACTAGTCAGGGGAATCACCGTGAAGGGATTTGAGCAGGGTTGAAATGGGGCGTTGTTCAGTAGTGGGGGGAGTTGGGAAAGGGCATCAAGGAAGGCAGAGGTAGGGAGGATGGAACACACACAGGAGGCAGAAGTAGATTGACCTAACTCAAACTAGAGTGGAACCATTGAATACAGCAGCTAACCAGGTGGTTAGAGAATTAGGGGCCTTAAAGTTATGATGGGAGAGTGGTTTCTGGAGTTGGACCAACCCAGGCTCAAGTCCTGGCTCTGACACTTACTAAATTGGGACCTTGGGCAGGTTAGTGCTCCTTTCTGAGTCTTGGTGTCTTTTCTTTGGGTAAACTGGAGATGGTGTCTCCTTTCCACAGTGGTTGAGACTATTAAATGACAGCATGTCATGAAAGCTCCGAGTACACGACTTTCACATGATTCAAAAAACTAAACCAAACTTGTTGCCATCGTCAAGTCGATTCCAACTTACAGAGACCCTATAGGACAGAGTAGAACTGCCCCATAGGATTTCCTAGGCTGTAACTCTTTATGGAAGCAGACTGCTATATCTTTCTCCCGCAGAGCAGCTTATGTGTTCCATCTGCTGGCGTTTTGGTAAGCAGCCGAGCATTCACCACTGTGCTACTAGGGCTCCTTTCTCACATGGTAGACACTTGGAAATGTCTATTGTGAGAGAAAATTGGAGGGTCCTGGGACAAAAGCGATGTGATAAAAGTTACACTTTCTTATGAGATTTCATGAAAAGCCCATTTAGAATCCTGAAGTGAAGGATAATGGAATATAACAAGCATTTGCATATAGCTGTGCCTGGGAACCCTGGCTAGAAAGAACTAGCCCTCCCAAAGTGATCTGTGGCCCGCTCACTATCTTGAGACCTCTGTCCCCCAAGCTTCTGCAGTGCACATGGATTGTTGGATGGCATGTTCTCCTTATACATTTTTGTCATAGTTGCAGGATGGTGGTACAGTTGTTTAACCTCTTGTAGCTAAAGCACAATTATGTACTTCAACATTCCCCTGTCAATGTGTCCTTGAGGCCCAGCCTCCTTTCCCTCCTAAACACTAAGTCTCCGAGAAGGCAGCCCACCTCTCTTGGTTTGAAGGAAAGGTGCTGTTGGAATTTTGGTTTTGTAGCTTTCAACTTGAAAACCTTAAGGACTTTGTAAAGGGAGCAGCAGTATCATTTGTAGTTAGAGGAGTGGTCTGAGCAGCTACCTCCACTTGCTTCTTTGAATGGCCTTTCTCTCCACAGTTCAAACTTAACTCTTCAGGGCCACATCCTGGGTCATCACATCCTACTCCTCACTTAAAACTTGTGGCTTGGGAAGGGACAGAGGTAAGGCTTCTTGTGATGCATACAGATGTCACAGATTTTCAGGGAGCCTCTTGGCTTTCAGAGAATATGACTTCCCTCTTGGTCCTCTTCACCAGAGACGTGCACTCAGTCTCCCAAGGACATGCACTTTATTTGTTCATATCCCAAGAACCGTACATTCTTAAAAAACAATACCATCCCACATCAGCATTCATTTTATACTCGTCAGAGAATTTGCATGTCTATTACTTCATCTGTTTAATTTTATCCTCACAATAACACTGTGAGGCAATACAGAAGACATCATTAAGTCTATTTCAAAGGTGAGGAAACTGAGGCTCAAAGACATCTAGGTACTTGCTCAAGGTGGCAGTACAAGTCTTCCATTCATTCAGGAACTATTTCTGGGTGCCTACTTCATGCCCAGCCCTGTGCTAAATCCTGGGGATGCAATTATGAGCTACACAGGTATAGTCCGTTGTCCCAGAGCTTATAGTCTGCCAGTAGCAATAAACATTAAACAAATACATTAACTAAGCTATTTATAGTTGCATGAGGTGCTATGAAGGAAAAGTATGTTGTGTACAATGAGAGCAAACACCACAGTCTGGGTGAGGGAGGGTTGTCTGACTTTAAATCCAATTTCATGCTCCTGTGCCATTGAAGTTAGGCTCTTGCGTGCCATGGAACTTGGCTGTTTAATCTGAATCCAGGGGGTTAGAATGCTGCATGTAAATGAGCTGAACAGAAGATTTCAAAGGGCAGCTCAAGAAGACAAAGTAAAGTATAGTGAAATGTGTTAGGACCTGGAGTTAGAAAACCTAAAGGGAAGAACATGCTTGGCATTTCTCAAGCTGAAAGAACTGAAGAAAAAATTCAGCCTTAAGTTGCAATATTGAAGGATTCTATGGGCAAAATATTGAACAATGCAGGAAGTATCACAGGAGATGGAAGGAATACACAGAGTCACTGTACCAAAAAGAATCGGTCGACATTCCACCATTTCAGGAGGTGGCATATAATCAGGAACCCATGGTACTGAAGGAAGAAGACCAAGCTGCCCTGAAGGCATTGGCAAAAAGCAAGGCTCCAGGAATTGATGGGATACCAGTTGAGGTGTTTCAACAAATGGATGTAACCTGGAAGCGTTCACTCGTCTATGCCAAGAAATTTGGAAGACAGCTACCTGGCCGACTGATTGGAAGAGATCCATATTTGTGCCCATTCCAAAGAAAGGTGATCCAACAGAATGTGGAAATTAATCTAACAATATCATTAATATTACATGCAGTTGAAATTTTGCTGAAGATAATTCAAAAACGGTTGCAGTAGTACATCGACAGGGAAGTGCCAGAAATTCAAGCCGGTTTCAGAAGAGGACATGAAATGAGGGATATCATTGCTGATGTCAGATGGATCTTGGCTGAAAGCAGAGAATACCAGAAGAATGTTTAGCTGTGTTTTATTGACTGTGCAGAGGCATTCGACTCTGTGGATCATAACAAAGTATGGATAACATTGTAAAGAATGGGAATTCCAGAGCACTTAATTGTGCTCATGAGGAACCTTTACATAGACCAAGAGGCAGTTGTTTGAACAGAACAAGGGGATACTGTGCGGTTTAAAATCAGAAAGGTGTGCATCAGGGTTGTATCCTTTCACCATATTTATTCAATCTGTATGCTGAGAGAATAGTCTCCGAGAAGCTGGTCTATATGAAGAAGAACGCGTTATCAAAATTGGAGGAAGACTTATTAACAACTTGCGATATGCAGATGACATACAACCTTGCTTGCTGAAAGTGTAGAGGACTTGAAGCACTTACTGTTGAAGATCAAAGACTGCAGCCTTCAGTATGGATTACACCTCAACATAAGATGACAGAAATCCTCACAACTGGACCAGTAAGCAACATCATGATAAACAGAGAAAATATTGAAGTTGTCAATGATTTCATTTTACTTGGATCCACAGTCAACATCCATGGAAGCAGCAGTCAAGAAAACAAAGGACGTTTTGCATTGGGCAAATCCGCTGCAAATGACCTCTTTCAAGTGTTAAAATGCAAAGATGTCACTTTGAGGACTGAGGTGTGCCTGACCCGAGCCATGTTATTTTCAGTCACCTCATTTGCGTGTGAAAGTTGGACAATGAATAAGGAAGACCAAAGAAGAATTGATGCCTTTCAATTATGGTGTTGGCGAAGAATATTGAATATACCATGGACTGCCAGAAGAATAAACATATTTGTCTTGGAAGAAGGACAGCCAGAGTGCTCCTTAGAAGTGAGGATGGCATACTTTGGACATATTATCACGAGGTAGCAGTCCCTGGAGAAAGACATCATGCTTGGTAAAGCAGAGGGACAGCAAAAAAGAAGAAGACCCTCAACCAGATAGACTGACACAGTGGCTGCAACAATGGGCTCCAATACAGCAAAGATCGTAAAGATGGCGCAGGACTGGGCCATGTTTCGTTCTGTTGTACATGGGGTCGCTGTGAGTCAGAACTGACTGGACAGCACCTAACAACAACAGAATGCTACAAAAGTAGACTGAATATCAGTGAACTCCTTTATGGTATCCAGTGTGACAGCTGGATATTATTGTGAGACCGTGATGTTTTAAAATAGCTCTTCAAACCAGCTGCCAAAGAATGCATTTATTAGGACAAGAGGGTCATTTACCAGTGTCATCTCTCACCTTGCCAGTCACCAGAGTTGACTTAGTGGCTGTCTTCATGTTCATCTTGAGCATATCTCACAAAGCTGCTCTGCCAGGTGAAAGAGGCAATCTTGCCAGACAGAGAAGGATCTTTTTCTGGCCAGAGGTTTACAGGTAGTTTCATTCCTTGATAAGAGCCTCTAAAGACATTCTTAAAGTTATTATTAGCAATTTGTCCAAAGTTATTTAATTCCACGTCTTTAGATTTGAGGAGTTTATGACAACATTGCTGTCATTTTTATTTTCTTTCCCCATAGGTATGTGTCTGATTTTACCAACACTCTCCAGTCAATACGAAAGAAGTGCAAACTGGATGAAATTCCTCCCAACTCCCTTTTTCATGAAGATTGGACGGCTTTTCAGAACTCCATTAGGTAAAGTGGAGGTTGTAGTTTAAGCCTGTACCTAACGTAGTAAACATAAACATGCATAACATAGTATATAAAAATGACAAATGTGTTTAGAAGAGGCTCACTTTTATTTTCACTGTGTTCTTTAATTAAAAAAATTTTTTTTATTGTAGTAAAATATATATAACATAAAATTTGCCACAGCCACAATTTTTACATGTACAATTTAGCAACATTAATTATATTCACCCTGTTACGCAACCATCACCACTGCCTACTTCCAAAACTTTTTCATCACCCCAAACAAAACTCAGTACCTATTAAGCAATAACAATCCATGATTTTTAAAAAATAAATCATAGAATTGGATTTGGCTTTTGCTAACATGCTGCCAAATGACCTTCTAGAAACGGCTCTGCCAAGGGACAGTCTCATCCTCAGTGCCTGCGAGTGCCCGGTTTTCCATTTTTTTAAAAGCAAATACTCTGGACTCTAAAAACAGGCCAATAAACAAAAAAACCAGACCAAATCAACCAACACCAAAAAGACCCCTGTAATTCTTAAAAGAGTTTTAGAAGTTTAAAAAAAAATTATGGATGACTCTTCTTCTTCAGTGACTTAAATGTTTTATATTTCGTTTGAGATTTTTTTTCCTCTTAGCCTCCTGGTTTTTACACACCTAAAGTAACATAGAGCTTACCTTTCAGAGAATGCACAGCTGATTGGATCCTGTTTCCGGATCTAAGAACCGCAGTACTAGATGGTAAGGCTACATTAGATGGCCTGCAAAGGACCATGAAATTGTTGAGTGGAAGGCATGGAGGTGACCCTTCCAGCTGCCTGTTGATGGCCAGACTCTGAAGTAGCCAGTGTGACCTGTGGGCCAGTAGGTAGACACCGTGTTGCCCCAACCCCAAGGCCCAGTGGGAGTGTCACTGGCAGTTTCCTGAGAAGGTTTGGGCCTTGATACGTCCAGCCAGAGAGTGCAGACTGCTGGCCTGTGGCTGGATCTGATCTTTGGACATGTTTTGTTTGAATTAGTTGCCAACATTTAAAAACCAGATTTAATTTAACATAAAAATCCAAGTTTCTAACATCACCTAAAAAAATTGGAAGTTCTGCCAACACTGGGCCTGTGCTCTCACAAGGCCCTAATCCATCGGGGCCGAGTAGCTGAGGTTCCTGTTGGACTGGGCATGTGTTCTCCGTTGTGCTATGGTTCTCCCTGCTCCCAAGTGTCCTTACAACTATGCTATTAAACCAAAAACCAAACCTGTTGCCACTGAGTCCAGTTCGACTTATGGCAACCCATATGTATTACAGAGTAGAACTGCTCCATAGGGTTTTTTTTGGCTGTAATCTTTATGCAGCCAGATTGCCAGGCTTTTCTTTTTTCCATGATACCACTTATTGGGTTTAAACTGGCAACCTTTAGTTTAGTAGTTAAGTGCAAACCACTTGTACCTCCCAGGGGACCTTATTATACTGTTAGGCTGAAATGAAAAACAGTCTAGAAATGTCTTTTCCTTAAAACCACTAGTAATTTTCTATATGTATGTACATTCTGAAGAGAGCAGCTGCTCCTGCTTCACCCACTTTCTTTCTTGCCTGACCCCGGGCCTAGGTGACACATGCAGCATACCCATGACATATGTAGGTCTAAATGTGGTGGCTCACGCAAGAGCAGATCCAGACCCTCCAAAGACCGTCTTTAATCAGGGCAGATCCAGGACCTCCCAGGACCATTTTAGATTATCTCTTCATGAGCTCTTTTTAATTTTTTTAAAAATAATATTTTATTGTGTTTAAGGTGAACGTTTACACAGCAAATTAGGTTCCATTTAACAATCGTTCAGTGACGTTGGTTACATTTTTCACAATGCGTCGACATTCTCATTATTTCCATTCTGGTTGTTCCATTTCCAGTAATCTAGTTTCCCTGCCCCCTTACCTTCTCATCTTTGCTTTAGAGTAATTGTTGTCCATTTGGTCTCATATAGATGATTTTTTAAACGAGTGCAGCACTCCTAGGTGATATTCTTTATTTTATGCGTCAGTCTGTTACTTAGCTAAAAGGTGCTTCAAGGGATAGTTTTGGTTTAAGGTTTAAAGAATGTGTCAGGGTGAGTCTAGTCTCAACTGGTCCAATTAGCCTGGACTTTTTAAGAATTTCAGTTCTGTTCCACATTTTTCTCCCATTCAATCAGGATGCATCTATTGTGGCCCTGATTAAAACAGTCAGTAGTGGAAGCTGGACACCATGTAGCTCTTCTGGTCTCAGGGTAGATGATTCTGTGGTTCCTGCAGACTATTAGTCCTGTAGACTTGTTTCTTCTCTGAGTCTTTGGTTTCCTTCTTTCTCTTTTGCTCCAGACGAGTAGAGACCAATAGTAGTATCTTACATGGCCACTCACAAGATTTAAGATTCCAGACACTACTCACCAAACTAGGATGTAGAACATAAACTTTATGAAGTGTATTGTGCCAGTTGTCTAAATTGTCCCATGAGATTATGATTAAACCTAGAAAATCAATCTTGCAAGGTATTTGGTTATATCTAAGAAGTATCCATTACTATGCTCCCTCTGTGCTTTATTATATATATATATGAATATGCATGTACACACATACATGTATACAAATATACATGTAGATACATCTATATATGCGCATATGCTACACATATATACATACTTATATACATATGTTCATACATACATACATATGTAACCACACATATAATTTTGGTGGTTGTTGTTGACTTTTGTTATTATTTTTTTGATGAAATTTTATGTTCTAGATGTTAACTGTATCCCTATCATCTATGGTGGGTTGGTATATAGGAAAATATTATGTACGAGGTAGTTCTGTTGAACCTGAGGCGAGTGGAATATTTTACTTTCTCATAAACCTTTCTTATGATGGAATGCCTAGATACACTGGTAATGATAGGCGCTTTTAGAGAAAGTTAAAAGTTAACTAGATTTAAGATGTTTTTAATCCCTGGATTTGTCCTGACATTATGAGTTTGGTGTTGAAGGACTCAGTAGCTGGAGTTTGAGACCAGGCATAAAATTACTTGAAAATCAAAGGATTATTAAATACAGATATGATAGTCATTCAGGCTTATGTCTGAGCAACAAATGGATTAATTTTCATCTGCCTTTCATGTGATCAGAGAGAGATACTTCTTGTATCAAAATAGTTTTCTTGTCTATGCCTTACAAATAACAGGCATCTAACTTATTAAATAATAAATTTTGATTATTAAATTTTTAGATACCAAGGATTTACAACCCATTTTCTCAAGAATAAAGTCCAAAAGTACCTCAGTATTTTGGAAATGTGCAATTATTTGAGATTGCACTGATAGAATTATGACTCATGCCAGAGAAGCCTGGAACCTGGAGGATATTAGAAACCTGGGACCTGGAGGATATTAGAAGGGACTAGCATTTACTTATTACATTAATTACTAATGAATGGAACTTCTCAAGTAGGCCATCAAATGGTTAATTGCATTCCCAGAAGCCAGCACCACCAAAAAGGAGTGAATAGTTGGAATCTTTATGAACGAGACAATGTCCTGTAAATGTCAGCATTCCAGATACTTCAGTTTGAAGTGTTTTTTTGTTTTGTTTAGGATAATAGCTACCTGTGGAGAGCTCTTGCGGCAGTGCGGGGACTTCGAGCAGCAGCTAGCAAACAGGTAGGAGAAAGAGCTGTCATGGTGTCCCTGAGGTTCTTTGCTACAGTACACATCACAGACAGCATATGGTCAAACCTGACAGCCACAGGGCTTGAGGACAGTCTGTATCTAGATACAAGTTGTCATGATTGCCATCATTAAACATTTACTGAGCCCCAAAAAGGGCAAGGCTCCATTCGAGTTGGCAGTGGTCATACGTAATTTTAATTAGATACAGAGGTTTCAGCCCAAATGAGGAACAGTACGTGGTGTCTCCAAATTATGAATGGGCTGGGTTCTGATGGCTTGTTTGTAAGTCAGCTGTTGGGACTAAGAATAAATTTCCCCATAGAAACCAATGTTATGAGTGGTGGTTAAGTCCCTGGGCCAGCCTGCAGAATCTGGATTAACCCAGCCAACCTGCCTTTTGGGTTCTGGAGCAGAATTCTGCGCTGCCAAAGGGGTGTGTTTCAAAGGAGAATTTCTGGAGTCTGCCCTCAGAAAAGTCCCCTCCACCCCCCTTTTCTATTCTGATATCTGCCAGGGCTTGTCTTGCCAGCGGTTTTACGTTGCCCTGAGATGGCCCCATTCAGACTTATGCTTTTATACTTGCACATTTAAAAACAAGAATACATTATTATTCTGAAGCTTGCCTTTTTACTTACACTTACACCATATTTCAGACATCTTTCCATATCAGGGCATACAGATTTTCCTTGATCTTTTTTAATGAAGGCAGATGGTACGTCCTGAAGGGTAAGGAAAGACCTGGTTAGGAGGATGCATGGGGACGAGGCAGGTAAAGGATCAGCCTCTCAAACTGCATTTTGCAGCCCAGAGAGGTTGATAGCCAGGTCTGAGCTGTGGTGCAAGATAACAGACCAGGCATATTTGCGGGAGCCTCTGTAAGAGGTGATCTCATCCTGGAAGCAGTGAGCCTGGAACAGGAAAAGAGCCACAGTCACCATCTGTGTTCCCACAGAGAGGCTGCACAGCATGTGGCAGGGCCTGTAAAGCTTATCTTATCTCACCGTCAATCTTACCTGCAGAACCCAGACTCTTAACCAAGAACCACTCCCGAGGGGGTGGCAGAGGCAACAGCTCCAAACGCTCCAGACTGTGGTTTAGTGATAAGAGTGACATTAGCTCTCGGGCTCTGGACATCACCTCCTTACAGAGGGGATCATTTTGTGATTTATGGGCAGAGTGGGTCATTTTGTGATTGATAGGCTGAGTTGGGTATCACTTGAGGGATGTCTCTTGTATTGGGCACCTTGGATGAGACGTAGGGAGATTGCTATATCTCTTCTGTCCTTTCATGGTGCCCACTGTTTATTTGTGGAATGATGGTATTTTCCCCAGGATAAAGACTTAGCGGGACAAGCCAATGGGACAGTCACATTTGCGAATTTGATATATTTACAAGTGTCCATGGCTGAGGAGTGGGTAACAACTTTTTATGAAAAGGAACTGAATTAAGGAAGTAGAATTGAAATGTTAGTCACTCCCTCCTCTGTACACATTTACCAAATTCTCTGAATTCTCATAACAATGAGCATATTTGCACTATAATTTCTCCATTCACACATGGGGCTCCCCTGTTAACCTCTGAGCTTCTTGAGGCCAGGGACTGTGTTTAACCATCTGCTAGCCTCAAGACCTAGCTGAGAGCCATTATCATGAGAAAATGTTTCTTTGAGCAATAAAGAAATAGAATGTTCATTTCAGTAAGATTTAGTTCACAATACTAATAAATACACATAGCTGGAAATCAGATGCTAAGGATTAAATAATCTAATGGTATCTCTGGGGAGGATAAGAAAAAGATGTCAAGATGTCATTAGTTCCTTGGTTGGGGCTGCATTTATCCTGAAGTTTTAAACTATGGTCTTTAATACTTAAAACGTTCCCGACTTACCTACTTTTCTTCTACTTGGATGACAGGCTGACGCAGGGAGGTCAGTTTGCCCCTAGCTGACGGAGCCTGGAGCAGACATTGTAGTAGCCCTGCAGAGCAGAGCTGACTTCCCAGAGCACAGAGGTGAAAGCTCAGCTCTCAGCTTCCCAGTTATCATACTCAGGACCACCTCTTTCTACGAACGGTTGTCGAGCACCTGCCATGTGCCAGGCACTGCGCTAAAACCCTCTTGTCGTCGAGTTGATTCCGACTCATAGCGACCCTATAGGACAAAGTAGAGCTACTCATAGGGTTTCCAAGGAGCGGCTGGTGGATTCAAACTACTGACCTTTTGGTTAGCCACCGTAGCTCTTAACCACTGCACCACTAGGGCTCCAGGCACTGTGCTAGGGGCTGGGAATTCAGAGACGAAGAACGTGTGGATTTTGTCTTCAGCATTTTATCCGCCAGTTGCCGTGGAGTCGATTCTGTGTCTCATATATGTCAGAATAGAACTGTGCTCCATGCAGTTTTCAATGTCTGATTTTTTGGAAGTAGATCACCAGGACTTTCTTCCAAGGCACCTCTGGATGGACTCGAACCTCCAACCTTTGCGTTAGCAGCCAGATGCACTAATCAGATGATGTGATAAATGTCATAACAGAGATGAGAGGCTCATGGGAACAGAGGACTGAGTGCCTAGTGGGAGACATTAGAAAAGACTTCGCAGAGGAGAAGCCCCTGGGCCCAGTCCTTGAAGTAGGAGCTTCCCAGTGCACGGAGGAAGGGGGACCATCTCAGACAGAGGGAGCGGTGTGAGCCCGGCATGCCAGCGTGACAAGCACGTGTGTGGGGGTGGCAGGCAGTTTGGCATGAGTAAGAGGGACTGTTTCTAAAAAAGCAAGTGCAACCTCAAAACTTCTATGTCCAAAACAACTTTTTCCTAGGAAATTGTGGTCAAGAAGGGGTCAGGCCATGAGTCACATTTGGGAAATATTACAACGTTTATTTTCCGGGGTATGTCTATTCCTATAATCACACACAGAGTTAAATGTGTAGAATGAATGGTAAAATAGGGTTAAGGAAAAAGAGAGGGGAAGGCCGCTGCTGTTGGAGACAGAGATTCAGCTTCACTTGGTGGCCAGGTGCACACTAGGTTGATTACCATATTGACCCCCTTCTAAGCTGTTTTCTCTCTCAAAGAGATTGGAAAGCGCAGCTTCTCTCAGTAGACCTATCTGTAGCACCTAAACCACAAGAGTAAACTTTACAGTCCTGGGGAGCCAACACCTCGGACGCCCAGGGCATGGGACCAGGTGAGGCCCGTGGGTGAAGGGCGTGCAGTGACTGGCTGTTCACCGTCTTCCAAGAGCCCACTGTCTTGCTGCCCTGTGAGGGGCGCTGGTGTCTCACCACGGTACTTGCCCGTCCAAACCGGGTGCTCATCCATCAGAAAAAGGCCTCCACTGAAAGTACAGTGTTCGAGCTGGTAGTTAACTGAGGGCTGCCCTTGAGTAGGTTGTGTGTCCATGTTAGGAAGATGGTGTATTCTGTTGGAGTGAGTGTGAAATAGGAAATTAACGCCCCTGGGACCTTGTGCACCTGCAGTCCTGGCTCATTTAGGAAAACAATGACATCTTTATTCCCTAATAAAACGGGTCTTAATCTGCCTCATGAGGCTATCCTGGCATTTAGTATAAGGAGCGTCTGGATGCTTTCAGAAGAAAGCTGTATACCAGTGTCGAGGGGGCATAATGGTCACCACTTCCGTTGCAGGATTTTGTCCATAGCTGGGAAGTATCTCTCTGACTCATACTGCCCTCGGAGCCTGACCGGTTTTCAGGATAGCATCTTGACAGACAAGAAGAGCACTGCCAAGAATCCGTGGCAAGAATATAATTACCTTCAGAAAGATAACCCTGCTGAATATGCCAGTTTGATGGAAATACTTTATACCCTCAAGGTATGAGACCAGACTGATGGCATTCTTGCAAATGAAAGCTTTTCCCTTGTTCCTGGTCCAGGCTTTCAGGCTATTGTGTGCCCTGCTGCCACTTCTCTTTCTCCTTTCTCTTGGGGTTTTAAGGAGCTAGTAGACTAAATTGAGTTGAAAACAATTGAGATATAGAGGTAGGAGCCAGGTAGATGGAGCTTTGTGACTGATAAAAGCTAGGTTGGTGAATGTGGCTTTAGATCTGTGGCCAAATGGGCTTGTACTTCACAGGAGTTCAGCTCGTCAACAGGACCGGCAGACCTGGACAGTCTCTGCCCCCATGCAGGTACAGTTCCATTTTACTGAGGGCAGAGAGGGGATCAGAACCCCTAAAGGAGGACCCCAACTCAGCAGTCAGAGAAGTCACTCCTCTTCCCTGGAGGAGAAGCGAGGGGTGGAGAGAAGCCGGGAGCACTGCTCAGCCAGTGGCGCCGCTCGGCCAATGGCACCGCTCAGCCAGGGAACTGCTCAGCCGGCGGCACTAGTCTAGTACACCTTCCCCCACATGGAAACATAAGGACATGGGGATAAGTGTTCCCTCCTAGCCATTCGTTTAGTTCAAACTTAGTTGTCTACCATAAAGCTGCACTTGACATTGAACTTTGGACCCCTTTGGGTCCAGGGACAGGAGAACCACCCAACAAATGGAATGGAGACACACAGCTTCTTATGAATGGCCCCAGGGTTATATGGGGGCCCCAGTCATCCTTTTCAGAACTGTTCCCCTGCCTGCCTCCCAGTCTGGTTTCAGCCTCACTCTGTGGGTAACACTTAGGCAGAGGAGACACTGCTATTCCTGTGGCACCGAATGCAGTCTAAGATTGTCTGCACAGGCCTGGAACTCTGGTGGTGACATGCAAGTGTACCTCTGTGCACATCTGGGGCTTCAGCCTCACCCTCTCGGGGTCTTCTCCATCCCTCTGCACCTTGGCCCCCCAGCTGGCTGCATTGGAGCTTGACAAACACACTTCTTTTTTTTTTTTTTAATTGTGCCTTAAGTGAAAGTTTACAGTTCAAGCCAGTTTCTCATACAAAAATTTATACACACATTACTGTGTGATCCTAGCAGCTCTCCCTATAATGTGACAGCACTCTCCTCCTTTCCACCCCAGATTCCCTGTGTCCATTCAACCAACTCCTGTCCGTTTTTGCCCTCTCATCTCGCCTCTGAACAGGAGCTGCCCATTTAGTCTCATGTATCTACTCTAGCTAAGAAGCACTCTCTTCACGGGTATCATTTTATGTCCCGTAGTCCAGTCTAATCTTTGTCTGAAGAGTTGGCTTCAAGAATGGTTTCAGTTCATGGCTAACGGAGAGTCCGGGGGCCATGTCTTCCGGGGTCCCTCCAGTCTCCGTCAGACCATGAAGTCTGATCTTTTTACTAGAATTTGAGTTCTGCATCCCACTTTTCTCCTGCTCCGTCAGGGACTCTCTGTTGTGTTCCCTGTCAGGGCAGTCATTGGTGGTAGCCAGGCACCATCTAGTTCTTCTGGTCTCAGGCTGATGAAGTCTCTGG